TGAGAAATTGTTTCGATCGGTTAGGTTTGTACCGCTTGTTCATTCTCGTTGACTACCTCGTTTGTCGTTTTAGGAATGCCAGCCTTTCGTTTTCTTAGTCGTAGTTCGTTATCTCGCTCGCTAGACAAAGCATTTGCTATAGCCTGGTCTGCTGAGTCAATTTCATCACAACAGATGTTTGGTGCTTGTTGTTTCAGTTGTGCCTTCAACAATTTTTTGTACTCGGGTTTTGCAAATGACATTAGCTCCTGAACAAACATATTTCTAATAATAAGTTCATGCTCTTCACATATAATTTTCTCTGAGTTGATAAAGTTTTGTCTAGATTTCGGGGTTAAATTGAAAAAATCCATATTTTGACAGTTTGTAAAGCAAGGACTATTACATTCACCTCGGACACAAGAAAGGAAACGTTTCAACAGTCTTGTACTTTATGTTTCATCTCCTACGGCTACATGTATAAACCGGCAGAAATAAACATGCTCATCGACCAGAAAATTAAAGACGCAATGAGCCAGAATCAGAATGAAGTTCTTCAGAGTATTGACAGACTAATGTCTAGTCGTCTAGCTACTTTTCAAAGATCCGTTCGTGAAACGCAGAGGCAGCTTTCAGAAACTCAGACGTCAAAGATCCAACAGATGAACTCCGAAAATTATATCTTCAAACGAAAGGGAAACGAAGAACAGTTCAAAGTCAACACAAAAGTCGTAAACAAGATGAAAGAGTCCAGACGTCTACTAACAGAAACGCAAGACAACAATGAAAACACAGCGGGTGCAATGAGGTACATTAGTGGTGGTTTGGACATTCTTACTCATCGACAAAAACTGATAAAGCTCGCGGATCAGTCCGAGAACGGATGGAGAACAGTTACTGAAACGCACAGTCTAGCAGATGATTCAGAAGACGAAAAACGCATATTACGAGCAGAAAACAAAGCGTCGAGGAAAATAAAGAACGAAAAAAAGTTCAAGACACGTACAACTCCTTAAAGTGCCCCACAATCTACTCGATTCAGCTCAGTCAATCAACAGAGTACAGTTACCATTCCTTTGATGACTCGACCCGGAAAATGATATGATTGTGGTTTATCAGGACATTGGAGGTCAGACAATTATATACAGGGTTGGCAAATGCAGAAAGAAAAGTCTGATAAGATAATTACTAAATTATTTACTAATGATTTATCTGTTAACGTTTGTAAAGAAAACGTTATAGTTTTATGTAATTCACCTGTAGGTAAATTAAGAAGTTCAATTGATTATTGGCGAAATATTATTTGCGCTAATGAGACAGTTATTGATATCATAGAACATGGATATAAAATACCTTTTCACACAGAACCAAGTGAGGAATTTTTGAATAACAACAAATCTTCGTTAGAAAATTCAGAATTCGTAGAAAACGAGATTGTCAAATTAATAGAATTAGGATGCATTAAAGAATTTCCATGTAGACCTAAAGTGATCAATCCGTTGACTGTAGCTAACAATAAAAAAAAATTACGATTAGTTTTAGATTGTAGACACATTAATCCACATCTTCATAAATTCAGATTTAGATATGAAGATGCTAGCGTAGCCAGTAAAATGTTTAAGAAGGGAGATAACTGCTTAACTTATGATTTGAGATCGGCTTATCAGATACATTGGAGCAGATTATATACAAGATATGTAAAGGATAAATACACACTTCGGCAAGGTTTCTTGCATCAATAGTTGGTCAGATCCTATCTATGCAAGGGGCAGTTGGGCATGCAGTCATTTTACGTACAAGAAGTATGTACGAATGTATTTTGTATAGAGCAAGCTGGAATGCTAATGTTCTTTTGAATAGTATATCTCTTGATGAGATAGTTTTCTGGAAGGAAAACATTGAGAAAATGAATGACAGACAAATGAGCATTGTTGAGCAATACTCGAGTGTAGTATACACATATACCTTGGGCATAGATTACGGTGTCTATTTGGTAAATGCAACAGACGAAGAAATTATTGGTAGTTGGAACGATGGAGAAGATTTAAGAGTTCCACTTAGAGAGAACTTGAACGTTTATAGAGTACTGCAGTCTATATCTATGTCTTTACAAGGACAAACGGTTAAATGACACAAAGATAATCAGAATGTAGTTAACATAATAAAAAAGGGAAGCAAGAAATCTGATTTACAAGATATTACAATTAAAATAGCAAATCTATGTGAATCAAAGAGCATTAAAATCGTACCAGAGAGGGTACATAGACAAGAGAACGTTAAGGCAGATAAAATTAGTAAAACTGTTGATTGCGATGATTGATCATGATTGGAAGATAGACGATATTACATTTAGATATCTAAATCAGAACTGGGGTCCACATACCGTAGATAGGTTTGCAAAATATAGCATATTCAATTATAAAAACTGGTATCCAGGTACACTGGGTATTGATGCTTTCAATAGACATTGGTGTAAAGAAAACAACTGGATCGTGCCACTACCTTCGGAAATACCACGATGTATACACAAAATAAAACAAGATAAAACAGATAGCACTGTAGTTGTTCCTTTATGGCTTTCAACTCCAGATTGGCCTTTATTACACAAAATTAATGGGAATGTTGTCGAATTTGAATCTTTCATTAAATATAGTAAAATATTACCTTCAACAGTTATCAACAAAGGCCGAGGTAGAAATGGTATATTCGGAAAATCCATAGATTTTAGAATATTGGCTTTGAAAATAAGATTTTAATATATTTCATTTTTCCTCCAGGTATCGATCTAAAAAGCAGGGTGCTGGAGCAAATACAAGATAGAAGGATCCGTTCTGCTAATTTTGACGAATAAGGACATAAGATGTCGTTGTATCTACTGCAGTTCAGGAGTGACAATACTAAGAATAAAATACTTTTATGCTTTTAAACGGTGTGAGAGATTTATTTTGAAAGAAGGGGGACAATCTTTGCCAGCAAAGCCAATACATGTAGCCTTATATTTAATAAAATTGATTGACACAGGTTCATCTTATAGTGTAATTCAGTCAGCATTTTACGGTATAAAATGGGAACATACAGTACAAAGGTTTTTAGACCCCACAGAAAATACATTTGTGACAAATTTATTGGAGTCTTCTAAACGTCAATCACATAAACCGAAAGTTAAAAAGGAACATAGTGATTCTGAATCCATTATTGAACTTTGTACTAAATATAAGGCAATAATGATATAACAATATGAAGGGATTTATGTATGATTGTTCTTAGTTTCGCTGGTTTTCTCAGATATAACGAACTTCTCTTCGGTTTAAAGACGTTCATTTCAAAAATAACTATTTAGAGATTGATATTGACAAAAGCAAAACTGATCAGTATAGATTAGGGGAAAAATTAGTCATTTCAAATGGTGAGTCTGCTGACTGTCCTTACTATTTATTATCCAAATATTTCAGTATTTGTAAAATTGAGACCAGTTCTGAGCAGTATTTATTTAAACCTATTTTTAGATCAGCCAAACGGTGTTCTTTAATTTACAAGAACAAAACACTGAGTTATACCAGAGCTAGAGAGTGTATTTTAGCTAGACTCAAAGAGGTTTGTGATGATATAAACATATGTTTACATTCTTTGAGGGCGGGTGGAGCCACAGTCGCAGCTAACGCAGATGTTAACGAACGCTGCTGGAAACGTCACGGCAGATGGAAAACTGATACTGCTAAAGATGGGTACGTGGCAGACTCACTTGCACATCGCTTAGAAGTTACTAAGAAATTAGGCCTTTAGCATTTTATTCTATCGAATGTTTTAAACACTTTTCCGCCCTTTCTTTGTGTTTTCTAGTCTGCACGGCTAAATGCATTCATTTTGTTAGTTGTTACTGAAGTGTATTTAAGACATTTATTTTTCCACGTTTCGGAGAATAGCGGGAAAATTTGTCTAAAAGGAACGTTTTTTAATAACGGTATGTTTTTGGCGGTTTGTCTGTAGTTTTACACGTGATTACTTGGACCAATCATTTGTATTGTGTCAATAAGTATTCTTATGTTAATAAGGTGAAAGCGGGTTTTTATTTTCTTTGTGTTTGAAAATCATTCTAGCCGCAGACGTTCAACACTAAACTTCGGTATTATAATATTTGATATTTATATATTATTTTTTTTCGATGATGTTCGGCATCAATGACCCGAGGCGTGCCATGCACTTGCCCCGTAACACAGGTTTTCATATCAATTTTCTTTAGTAAAGTTTTTGTGGTTTTTCCTGGGCGGCGAGGTTACGTTAAAGACGGATATATACATACATTTATAGACATAAGGGCCTTTTGTTCTTCATTGTTGCCATTGTTCAGATGCTTATTTATTCTCTATATATATATGTTCTCATTTTGGAATGTACTTGTACTTCATATATGTATTGTTATATAAAATATATATTAAACGCCGGCTCAGTCAGTCTGCACGGCTAAATTCATTCATTTTGTTAGTTGTTATTGAAGTGTAGTTAAGACGTTAAATTAACAGTGAGTTTATATCCAGTCATCCATGTGTAGGGGTATGCATCGTGGCTTCATATCCTTAAGGTCTTGAGCTCGATTCCCCGCATAGACACTGGAAATTAAGTGTTTTTTTTCTACATAAATTCTGAAAGTTAGTCTTTATTCCGAATAAATATTTGTAAGTTTTATTGTGTGTTCAACATTTTCGCCAAAATGTTACAAAACAAAAGAAAGCATGCAGAACAAAGAAACTCAAGATAGGGTGATCACCCCTGTAAGAACAAAGGAGTTGGGATGTAATTGTAAAAATCAACCTATCGAGTGAGTTGTCTTCATATGTTGTGATTGCATACGTTTTAATACTGTGTCATAAGTCTTCGACATATATTTTGAAATGTCAAAATATTAAAAGACTCACATTAGGGTCTTCATGAATATTATAAATCCACTCTGTATAAATTTCCTATATCAAATAAGTATATAAATCACAAATTTTCTGAGAGCTCCAAAACACAACAACACAATATAAGGGGAGATAATCACTTGTATTATAGGTATCAATTACAATTAATATTACATTAAATATAGTAAGCATCACATAGTACAATATAGTAATTCATGAGTACAATTCATACAATTCAAAACAAATGAAAGAGCATGATATTAATTAATATATTTTTACAATCTTGAAGTATAACACATATATATACACATTCAAAAATTACGAATTCTTTCGGCAATACATAAATACTTCTAAAAATTATTAAGTTTTTTTTTATATAACCAACAGATAACAATTCTATAAGTTTAGATACTGATAGATTTCTCCAGTAATAAGGTTTTATATACTTCATACGAATATCTTTTTATCTAATACATTCCAAAATAAAATGATATTCATCCTCAAAGAATTATTACTTAAACCATTGTTGTGACGTCAGCCTGTTCATTTGCCGTGGATTCTTTTTCTAGAATCAAAGCTTCCTAAATCTGTCGCTGAAATAGACTCACCAATAGAATACCAGTAACACGCTGTTTGAACTCAGCTATAAAGCATCTTCATTTAAAACATTTTGTGTCACCCATACATTACTTAGGCCATAATTACATAATAAATCTCTTATTCTACATGACCAATTCATTACTTTTTACATAGCTAGCCTTCAGCATTTCTGCGTAAAAAATTTCAAGAATACGATTTTCAGTTTTTAACAATTTACACCAATATTTCATCATTTTACAATAACCTCTCTACATACAATGGAACTCTACCATTTCAAAATACACCATGTTATTTGTAGAACTCTTTTGTACTTTCAAATTCTCTTAAAAAATATAAATAAAGAGTTACAATGGCAATTGCTTTATGATATCCCTACACCTCACTACCATAATTCAATATGCTTGAAACATATTAGTAAAAATACCATTTTAATTTAACATCATACCAAGATATATATAAATTCATCACATAACTCAATATACTCCCCATTGATGAACCATTTTTCTTCTGGTTTGATAACACCTCTGTTTCTAAGAGAAAAAAATCCTAGTTTTCACCATATTTATATGCAAATAATATCCTTCAGAACATATATGAACAACATCTATCCTTTTTTGAAGATCATTTATATTTTAGCAGAAAATAACAGTATCGTCATCATACATTAATAAAAAAGATTGGGCATTCTCATGTCATATGATTGACAACCCTGTTTTATTCATTCTATTTCAATGTCATTGACATAAAAAGAATATAAGAAGGTGATATGTAATCTCCTTGCATTAGATCAATGTCACAGTGAAAAAACTGTGACAAATCACCCTTATGCTTAACACATAATTGTTTTGTCGAAAGAAAACCTTTTTTCATATTGTACGAGGATAAAGGCCATGTTTACCAACTCCCTCCGTAGAGGATATTCATAGAGAAAAGGGGAGAGTTTGCTTTAATTATACACTTATGCTCTAACGAAAAAGAACGGACCAATTATCTTCAAATATAAGTACTTTTAGCGAAAATAAAAATAGCAAAGCCCATTTGTGCGGCAAATATTAAATTCTATGTTGATGCAAAATGCAAACAAACAAATAATTTAATAAAAGTTTATATATCGTATAGAAAAACATGATGTTAAACAATAATTCTTCTGTGAATAAAAATTGCACACAATTTATTTTTTATCATTGAGTAACCATAATCGTTATGATAGGAACATATTTGATAAAATATCCTTAATCGTCATCAAAATAAAAATGTTTAAGGTTTGATATATATCTCTGTTTGGTGTTGCAAATAGTATAAAAGACTACCGATATCTGATCTCCGAGAATAGATTAGAAATTGTCTAAGTTTGATTTTAACAGGAAGATAAATATTCTCTTTTATGATTACTTTATAAACATATCTTGAATATGATAAGCACTGATCAAATCATCATTAAACCATCAAACCATTTAACCAGTGTGATTGGTTTTCCAAAACTGTTTTAGTTCCGGAATACGCTGGCTACAAAAACGAATAAATGTTATTAATTTCGTTAAACTTTTTCAAATCCAAAACTGTTCACATTTACATTTCTACATTAGCCAGGAAGCAACCTCTCATTTCCAGGTCAGAATGGAACATCCAGTGGCTCCTATTTTTTTCAAATTGTAATGTAATCTTTTTGAAATAATATATCTTCAACATGAATAAAGCACAACATTAAACAATAGTTACATTATATAAATAGACCATGTCAGTTTTCTACATCTTACATAAAAAATAATAAATATCTTTTTTTTAAACCAAAATCAGGTTTACGATTGCATTTCTTTGGTTTAAAAAAAGCAATTTGTAACTATATTTTATACTTACGCGACTGCGTGTTTTAAATCTTAATATTTATGTATCGGTTACAATAGTGATGGAAACAACGGGCATTGTTTAGTTAGTTGAACGAGGTATATACATTTTGAAACCAGATCTTTTAATGTTTAGTTTTATGATTTTTTTTTATTTAATGAAAGAAACAAAATAAGCATACTTAGTACGTAGAAGTCTTTTAAATTGACACGTTAACTCCTTAAACTGTATTTCGATAAAGAAATTATATAAAGGTAGGTCATAGTTTTTTATTGATGTTAGTATCTTTTAACTCGATTAAGAAGATACAATTCCAGCCCACAAACAAAAAATCCGAAGAATGTGCTTGAATTGTAGATATACTAAACCTGATAACCATTTGAAAATAAATCGAAGTTGGAGCGTGAGGAATTCATTCGAGTCCAATGTGACATAACACTTCTATGTGCATCTTTTCTCAACGTTAGCTTTATATAGTTTGTCATTCTCTTTTTGAGGAAATAACAAAAATTATGAATAAGTTTAGCAGAAACTATGAAAGAGCTGCCATCAAAAACAAATTATCAAAATAATTAAACCATTTACATGTATTTTAAGTAACCTGACTTGAGGCAAGCACATACATATGTGGCCGATTTGATATAGATTTATAGATCTCAACCTCGCCATTTTAATCTCAATCAGTCGATTTTACAAAATTTCGCAAAATAACATACAATCAGTTTGATGAAATGTTTGAGAAGTAATATACATAGATTACACTATGTTTTCTAAAGCAACAAGTTATAATTCTTCATAATAATTGCCATACATATATGCCATATATATTTACAAGCAATGTGACGATACTACAACGTAAAAACATTTATTGGAAAATGTATTGCGTATTCGAACAATGTAGAAAAACATACATTTATATATATGTAGGACTCGGAGGTGCGATTCGGACGCTGAAGTGCGATGATCACTATGAAGTGCGATGGTCTGCGCCGAAGTGCGATGGTCCGTTCGCTGATGTGCGAAGGTCTTTATGAAGCGAGATAACTATGCCATTATCGCACTTCAGCGTCCAACCATCGCACATCAGCATGATCAAAAACGCACTTCAGCGTCCAATCATCGCACATCAGCGTGACCATCGCGGTTTGGAGTACCATCGCGGTTCAGAGTCTTACATATATATCCATTGGATCACTAGTGAAGGTAATACACAGCTGAAAACACATTTTATATATTACGCACAATATTTTAAGACAATGTATACAGATTATTCAAACATTGAATAGCATGATAAACATGATAAACAATCTTTGGAAGTCTTCAATAAGCTTGTTCATAGGGGCCGCCGGACAGTCATGCTTTCTATTCTCTGTTTACTAGACTACACATTTTGTACATTTGTTAGATTTTTGAATTTGAGTTCGAACTATTGATACAATGAGCCGAGATCCTTAAGGCATATCTCTACAAACAAAAGCTATGTTTTACATAGCCATTTGAGTCGACTGGTTTAAAACGCTAAATACAGTGATAGCAGTATTGCCGTTAATGTCTGGACACTTTTTGCTTGAATTTCAGTGAGGATAAATCATGCATTTGTGGGTGCTCACATCGTTTTGGTGAATTCAAGACAAAAACAGTAAATGAAAATTGATAACCTTATCTCACAACCAATCGACTTTTCAGTTGAAAAAATAAATCGTACAGTTGTCGAAATAAAATGCGTCTCTAATGGGTTTGCGGCCTGACTGCTTGAAGAGTTGGCTAACTGGGTGATATGGCTTCTTTGTATTATCTCTGTAGTGCCCAATAAGGCTCTTTTGGAAGACAGACAGATTTTAATGGAATTCAGATGTTCAGAACTGTCAATGAGCAGTATGAATTATTGTACTAATTAAAAGATGTTGGTTTATTGTTTTCCTTATCTATAATATTAATATTCTGTCCATATAATACAACAGTTGACCGATTGATTGGTGGTTGCTTTAATCCGCCTCAACACAAACAGACTATATCGCGGCGAAATATAAGAAAACAGTCTGTCGGTGGTAAATACTCAAATTACGAATCAGAAAAAATAATTATATTATTTACATAGAGATACATCGTCCGCTTTAAATTAGCAATATTATCCATGTCAATATTTCTTCAAGCGTCACAATGTTATTTTTAGATTGTATATGATTTTGAAAGAAATATTGTAAATCAGTTTACTGTTTTTATGGCGTCTAAAACCGAGTTACTTTTAGCTTTACTTTTGATTTAGTTTTCAATTGCCGTCGCAAGCAAGTCCAAAAATCTATCATCATCATTCAAACAGTCTGCATAACTCAAATAGGTTTCTTCTACTATCAATTCCATTATCCGGATTGGTAATTGTTTGTATGGAATATCTTCCATTAAGATAATAATTATAATGTTTTTCCTTTCACGTGAACAAATTCCCTCCATGCGAGCAATGTTAAATTCATAATTACACCAATCAGACTTAAGAAATTCACGTGTTATTAAACAAATGGTCTTTCTGCTATGGTGAATACCATTTATAATATTTTCGGCAATTTCATTCCCTGGTATAAAATCTCGATGGTGAATACATAATCTCTTTCCCTTTTTATTTTCTAATTCTATCAAACGATTTATTACAAATTGTCGATCCTTGTCGGCATATGAGATAAATGCATCAAATGTATAATTCTGTATGACATGGAGTGGCTCGTAACCTCCAAAATATTGTCTTTTAAACATATGAAACGAATACTTTAGCCTAATTCTATATCTATAAACAATAGCTCCGAAAATCATTCCAAGTGATAGAAATAGAAATAAACCAGCTCCTATAATCAATCCAACTTTAGAACTGCACTTTTTCTGTAAGCTTAACAGCACATCTTTGACATATATCAGTTCTCGTTTACTATTCTTGCAAGTTACATTTGAATACGATCCCATTCGTTTTCGATGTTTTTTATACCAGAGAAGAAAAGAGAGAGAGTCGCAAGAGCATTCAAAAGGATTGTGCATCATTTTAATTTGTATATTTTGTGACGTTATTTTGTCAAGCTTTTCCATCGCCTTATCTGATAGGAAAGTAATCTGGTTATAGGACAAATCTACAACATTAAGCTTCCACAGATGAGAAATCGTAACATTCCAGTCAGTCAGAAGATTATGGCTGATATCAAGAGTTTTAATATTTGGAACATGAGCGAAAAAATTTTTTGGTAATGTAGTTATCCGATTTGAAGATATATTCAGAATTTTTAACTTCAACTGCTTTTCAAATAGTTCGCCGTTTTCAAATGTTTTCATGGCATCTCCAAGTAAATTTCCCTGTATGAATAGTTCTTCTAGATTAATGAACCCAATGAAAAAATGTGCGTAGATGTTTAAACACATGTTTTCAGAAAGATCTAAAATCTTAACGTTTGTAACATTACAAACTGGTCCCTGAAAATACTGAAAATTATTTCCACGTAAAGAAATGTATTCTAACGTATCATTGCTCATCCAGTTTGGAATGATTATATCACCGAGGTTAGAACTTTCAAAATAAATATATTTTGTATTTGGTGGAATCATATTGACAAAGGAGATTCGGGGATCAAATGTACAGTTGGGAGGTGGGTATGGTTGGATATCTGCAGCCGTTAGATGTGGATACGACTGGATATCTCGAGTCCTTGGATGTTTGACAGAATCCACAAAGTTTGCATCATCGGAAGAATATGTTTCAGCTATCAAACCGAATTCGTCGGATTCATAAGAGACCTGACGTTGTTGTGAAGATACGCCTCCATTTTGTTTTTGTAACATACAAGATTGTTTATTGGATTTTCGGTCTGATAAACATTGAATTGTATCTGTGAAATCATTACAAACAAACCATCCAGAGTGTACTTGTTGCGACTGGGTTTGGTCTTGAGAACTCAGAAATAAGGAATTAATACCTGTTAGTGTGAGAATTCCGTCTACTTTATATTTGTCTAACCGTAATCGGTTGCCCATAAGACTCAGTACCCTTAAAGTTTTCGGTAAGTAAGTCGGCGCTAGATCCTCTGTCATCTCAAGTCTATTCCCATCCAAATATAATTCAGTTAGATTTGTGTCTTTAAGTGGTTTGATGTCATCAACGAAAAGAATAGTACTGAATCCGTATGGACAATAGATTTGATTTGCCTTCAAGACTTTGATATCTGTATTTGGTAAATCTTGTGTTATATTACGAAAACCACAAAATCCTAACATCGAATTGAATGATATATCTAAACTTCTTAGATCTTTCCATTTAATGAAATGTCTAAAGCAGTTATTTGAGATAAATTTTCAAAATAGTTTTCCGTGATGGTTTCAATTCCGAGATTTGGCAGCATTAGATTATTGATAGATAACGCCTGCAGATTTTTCATTTCTGAAAATACTTTTCCAAATGATGTGGTCAAGAAGCCATCAATAACTAAGGTACGGAGAGATTTTAAGTGTTTAAAAACTTCCTCAGGATACACGGGTTCAGTTGTGTCATATCCATTCTGACCGATATTTAGATCGGTTAAACTTTGCAGATTATTGAAGACATTTCGTTGGAATACCGTTCTGTTGTAACTCAGTAGGTTCTGGTGAAGATCTAAAACCCGAAGCCTTCTAGAATTTGCAAAGGGCTGACGTCCGAATGAATTGATCTTATTCACTGACATATCTAAATGAATAACTGATTCCGGTAACTTTCTACCGTCCAATACCGAGTGAAAATTATTATTACTCAAATCAATTTGTTGAAGAGTTTTTAACTCTGATAATGAATAGTTTTCAGATCTATTGATTTTATTAAACGAAAGGTCCAAAATAAGTAGTTGATCAGGTAACAAATAAGCGTCTGGGATATATTCAAAATTATTGTGGCTAAAGTTAATTGTTCTGACGGTTTCATATAAACTGAAATTTGGGTATCTGTTTAATCCATTATTTGCACAATTTATAACTATTCGATTGCAGTCACATTCTGCACAAGTTTTTGTCATATTATCATCAGACAAACTGCTTACCGGCAGTAATAGTAATCCTAACAAACTTATATTCCATAATACAGACATCCTACTTCACAACAATTTCAAGATGTTTGAATTACTGCCTTGTTTAGAAAGGGACACTAGTATAAACAAAGTTTAAACAAAAAATCTTGAATTCTAATAACATAACAATGTATTATGTTATGTATGCTAGCGGGATCCAGTAAATTCAACCGATTATTGAGAAAAGACAGAACAAGACTATCAGGTGCTGATGTATACTCCCTAAACTAATCTAACCAATGGTTTAAAGCTGAAAAATACAAATTAAATTACAATTGTACAATGTGTTGAACAATTGTTATTGTTAACAAAATTTCAAATTTAAATACTAGCACAGTCTGATGAATCCGAGATCAAGTTAATTTCAAGCACTAGCAACCAGAATTTAGATTTAAAGACCAAACAGGTTTTAACCCTCAATCAAATAGATTATAGAAATTTGAAAAACTATTTTGAAAGAAATGGAAAACTTATTTCAATCTCATTTTGAAAGCAAGAGTAATACTTTTCAGATAGATTCGATTGCGCTCATTCATTCAAGCACTTTTAAACTGCGGGTAATACGCATTTAATTGTCCGCGTCGTAGTAAAGGTCAGTTTATACAAAGTGCGGATCCAGAAAAGTATTAAAACATGAGATTTCGAGATACAATACAAAATGACATTTTTCATTCAAATTTCACATGATTAGTAAAAGTAAACTCGTAGTAGCCAATAGTCAATTGTCGTTCATTTTGTCGATTGGACAAACTCTCATGGACAGGTTGACATTTTGTCGATTGGACAAACTCTCATGGACAGGTTGACATTTTGTCGATTGGACAAACTCTCATGGACAGGTTGACATTTTGTCGATTGGACAAACTCTCATGGACAGGTTTACATTTTGTCGATTGGACAAACTCTCATGGACAGGTTTACATTTTGTCGATTGGACAAACTCTCATGGACAGGTTTACATTTTGTTTTTGAAAATTTTTATGCAAATTTAGTCTAGCGTCAGAATTGTAGTGGTCTCAACCTGTTTCAAGCGTGACATAATGACAGAAACACAATCTGCAATTTAGTTGTCTTGAAGGCTGAGATTTGAACTCCTTGACCTGTATTTTGATAAAGAAATTATATAAATATAGGTCACAGTAGTTTACCAATGTTTAGATTAAATCGATTAAAAAAAACATAAATCAAGGTAGCAAATAAAATATATAAATCAAGGTAGCAAATAAAATATAAGTTTAAATTGTCGGTATACCGTAGCTGACACACAGTTGAAATAAATTGAGTTTGGTACGTGTGTAATTTTTTGTCGCATCCAATGTATATAGCATCCTTTTAGCCAATGTGACATAAAACTTCTTTGTGCATCGTTCTCAAAGTTAGCTTTATATAAAGGAGGAAATGGTGACATTCCTGTGAATATCAATTTTGTTTCTTTTATTTGATATTGATATGGTACAGTGATACGTCCAAATTATGGAAATTATTTCATTTACCTTGGAAGACAAACCTATAATTGTCAATTTACTTAGGACTATACTATACTAACCCTAACCATAGTCAGAGATGTCAGGTAGCAATAACGATGCTAGCCAGTGATTTCGTAACGAATCCTAGTCAGAGATGTCAGGTAGCAATAACGATGCTAGCCAGTGATTTCGTAACGAATCCTAGTCAGAGATGTCAGGTAGCAATAACGATGCTAGCCAGTGATTTCGTAACGAATCCTAGTCAGAGATGTCAGGTCGCAATAACAATGCTAGCCAGTGATTTCGTAACGAATCCTAGTCAGAGATGTCAGGTAGCAATAACGATGCTAGCCAGTGATTTCGTAACGAATCCTAGTCAGAGATGTCAGGTCGCAATAACGATGCTAGCCAGTGATTTCGTAACGAATTGAATGGAATTACCAGACGAACAAATTTACAGGACTTAATTGTAATCTAAGATATATGGCAGAATTGACTTTGATAGGAGAAATATTTTTATATAAAATGTATACATACTAACAAAACTAATTTTCTTCTTTTTTGTAATGAATTCATACTGTTAAGATATATAATACGTGACATGTACAGCGACCAAAAAAGCACAAATAACCACGACCAAACGACACAAATAAATAAAAGACATGATCTCGAAGTCAATATACAATCTTTACTAAACAATCTACAAGTGCATAATAAATTTGTCATTCTTGTAACTGTTCCGAGTACATAACAAATATTGTGAATAAGTTTAGCAGAAACTATCAAAGGATCCAACATAACACCAAAATTATTCATATAACCCAAATAACATCATTATCATGCTTTACACCCAGTCTACCATAAAACCATGCAAAACAGTCTACAAGGGGGGTCATCAGATTTAATTGAAACTTTGTGTGCTTAAACAACATTATGAAAGAAGTCCATAAAACAAATATTTCAGCTGGTTCCCATGCCTTTCAGTTAGGAGATGCTGTAATGTACCGGGAACCAGTTTCCCCAGTTGGAGGCAGTATTTTTCTATGAAAATGACCAATTTCAACACCCTGAAACTTATGAATGCAGAAAACAACGAGATAAAGAACGATGATTTATTGAATAATAAAGTGTTGAAGCTTTATTAACTCATCAGTACTTGAATTTACGAGAAACAGTTTGTGGATAATTCCCAAGGAGATAATCCAGTAAAAAAAATATTTTCAGAAAATCATAAAAAGTACGTATTTTTAAAACTAGCCTTTGGTCCATTAAAAATATAAAGATAACTCCCTATGTTTTATTAATTGGGATACTTAATTATGCATTTTAGCTAGTAAACTTGTTGGGGTCTCATTGTAGTACATTCTAAAATTCTAATCTAAAAATGCCTAAATTTACATTTTCTCTCAATAAATCAATGAATTTAAGAAAGATATTCTTTAGATAATTTTGGAAATGTAAGTGTTTCTTTTTCAAGAGCACTATAACATTTAACAAAATAAGTCAAAGTAACGATGACCATAGTTCAATTACAATTTATGATGCCATAAATATTGAATTTCAATGATACAAAGGGAGATAATCCAGTAAAAATGCATTTTTTTTTAAATCTTAAAATCACATTTTTGTAAACTTACCAGCTCTCTGTCCATTAAAATATAAACATATCTCTATTTTAAGTGACAGAGTTAAGAACGCATTTTAGCATATACGATTGGTTGACTCTTGTTTTAGTACTTTTTAGAATTTTCCTTTGATAATGTCCAAATTTACAATTTTTCTTACAGAATCAATGAATTTTAAATATCAATCTGTAGATAATTTTGGAAATATATAAATTTTATTTTTTTTAAACCTACGGAAGCGTATTAGGGCCATCCTTTTTTATTTATTTTTTTTCAAATTGTCGACATTAATCTTGGAATTATCAACTTTAATCTTGGAATTTCCAGCTTTAATCTTGGAATTATCAACTTTAATCTTGGAATTATCAACTTTAATCTTGGAATTTCTAACTTTAATCTTGGAATTATCAACTTTAATCTTGGAATTATCAACATTAAACTTGTCCAACTTTGATATTGATGATTCCAAGATTAAAGTTGATAACTCCAAGTTTAAAGTTGGAAATTCCAAGATTAAAGTTGATTTTTTTTGGTAGTGGTGTGCTATGTTTGTCTAAAACAATATACCTATTTTTATATTATATTAACTAATATTTGGTACCTTTATTTATGTATAAAAATTATGACCCGCCATGACATTTCCAGGCTTATGGAGGTAGAACGTCATTGTTAGAAAAATTATAAACATGGTAAATATCGAGATTCAATAGAATACGTATTTGTGAAGAAGAAATTAACACTTTCCTTGGCTTCTTTTTTGCGGACGCCGAACTACACATCATATATAAGTTCTGAAGAAGTTTTACGTCATCGTTTGAAGTGAAAAATATTTGATTCTACATTTTAAATTGATACAAAAAAATATTTTCTGCTCTATAGATTTTTTGCATAAATGGAGTCTGAAATTTATCCATGATAAATGCACCGTATCAAATGCATATAAAATAACACAAACTTATAAACTGTTACGCGTCGCATACTATATGTTCGGTGTGAGCCAATGCTCCGTGTTGAAGGCCGTACCTTGACCTATAATGGTTTACTTTTATAAATTGTTACTTGGATGGAGAGTTGTCTCATTGGCACACATACCACATCTTCCTATATCTATATAGAGACACGCATAATAAATCTAAATTAAAAGACAAATTTAAAGAAAGGAATTCTTAAAGCTTACTTTGACAAATTTTAAACTAACTTCATTTTAACAAGTTTAAATTATATGTTCTAAAATAGAGCTACAAAAAATCAAAATTCTCTGCTCTATAGATTTTCTTTCATTAATGGAGTCTGAAATATATCCATAATAAATGCACCGTATTAATTCATATATGAGAACACCTACTTTTAAACTGTTAATCGTCGCATACTATGTATAGAGACATGCATGATAAATCTAAATTAAAAGACAATTTAAAAAAAGGACTTCTTATGGCTTACTTTGACAAATTTTAAACTAACCTCGTTTCAACAAGTTTGAATTACATGTTCTATAATAGAGCTAAGAATTGTTTGTATTGCAGTAAAGGACAAGGTACGATAAGGCCTGTTTTTGGCCCCCCTATTTCCTCATTTTTCAAATTCTGTTTTGGAAAGCTACTTATTATGTTAAAATATTCCCTGAGATTTGAAGTTTGTTTGGATGAACTTCAAAACCACTAATTTTAGCAACTGGGTGAGGTGAGGGGGGTAAACTTTCTGTTATTATTCAAACATTGTAATTATTATTCACTTTGCAGGTGTTCCGTACAACTAATTTTTAGTTTTTTAGTGCCTGCGCCAACGTGACCCAGGAATTTTTTTATTCCAATGTCATGAGAATTGTTTTTGCTGTCTAAATCGCCATAATTTTCCCCGGGTCACGTAGGCGCACGCTATTAAATCTTAAGAAACAATCGCCAAAAATCGTACTTTTTCCTTCTTTTGGCTTTTTTTATGCCTTTTTACCCCCCTCACCTCACCTATTTTCTGAAATTAATGGTTTTGAAGTTCATCCAAACAAACTTCAAACCTAATGGAATATTTTAACGTGATAAGTAGCTTTCCAAAACAAAATTTAAAAAATGAGAAAATGGGGGGGGCCAAAAACGGGCCTTATCGTACCTTGTCCTTTAATTCTTTGAATTTTATTCAAATACGCTATTGAACATTACTAAGCGCCAATAAATACAATGATTTTGTATTTTATAAATAAGTGCCTTCAATAAATAAAAGTCGTCATTTTCATACCGGTACATTCGAAATGACTCGTTTCATTGCTATTACAACAAATATGTCATAATAACATGACAGAGAGTTTTGTTTCGAATATTCTAGATAAATATACAAATAGCAAATTTTAGACAATGTACCCTCTTTAGCCTGGAAGTAGCTAGTCACATATAGTTAACCTCGTTTTTTCTCACAATGACGTTCTACCTCCATAAGTCTGGATATGTCATGGCTAGTCACATATATGTAATAAAATATATACAAAGAATGACCTTTACTTGTGTACAATATTTTAATTTAAACCATTGTGGTGACGTCAGCCTATTCATTTACCGTGGATTCTTTTTCTAGAATCAACGCTTCCTAAATCTGCCGCTGAAATTGACTCACCAAATTATATTCAATTGTTTCCTTTGTGTGCCTAATTTCATTAAGTTTGAATAGGCTAATTTACTGATTTCTGTTCACTAATGGAATTAATTTAAAAACTTACCTTTAATTTTTGTAATTTTTATATGCCTTCACTGGGAATCGAACCCTTCCTTGAAATCTGTTATGTGTGACTGACATCCATACACCGACGAAACCTCTCGGCTACCAATGGGTTACACTATAGATGTTTATTATATATATTTAAATGAACATCTGATATACATCGGTTCATCGGACACACAGGGCTTGTACCTTTATATAGACACAATAGGCAGTCGTATAGTATGAGTTGGTAGCCGCGAGGTTAGCATGGTTAAAATCAATGAGTTAAAGATCGGGATTTGTCGGTTTAGGTTCGAATCCCTGTATTCTCTTTGTTGTACCAATTCTTAAGTTATCCTAGTTTTTTTCTAATTTTGCAAGTTATAGTGGATATTTTTGTAATAATAGCGAGTTTTACCGGTTTTTTTTTTTATTATTATTGGCTATTTCACATGTTTGAAACAAAAATGATTACATTCTATTTGTCAATTTTTGTTTTATAAATATAGTATGATTTCATTTGTTTTACTACATAATTTTACAAAGGTTTGTTCGCAAATTCCTATGCGAGAAAATCGTGATGTGCCTAGAGTGCTAGAAAAATTTCGATAACATACTTATTATATATACTTTATATATGCTTTTTGGTCGGGTTGTTGTCTCTTTGGCACGTTCCCCATTTCCATTTTCAATTTTATTAGAAATAATTTCGAATATGTCTTATTTTGTATAAACAGATAATATTCATATGCCTGGTAATATAAAATTCTTTAAAGGTAGAAGTGTTATATTTGTATTTTGTTAACCAATTAATTTAGATCTGAGATTTATCAATGCATCGTTGGACACGATAACATGGTTATTTAAGCTCACTTACAATACCTTCTAATTAAGAAAAGGCTTTAATTTTGAAAAGAAATTAACACAATAGTTTAAGTTATAGATACAATGGATAAGCGTAGATTCATGAAAAACAAACCATTCGCCCTCCGGGCTCATGGTTTCTTTTTCAAGAATCCACGCTTATCCATTGTATCTATATAACTTAAACCATTGTCATGACGTCAGCCTATTCATTTACCGTGGATTCTTTTTCTAGAATCAACGCTTTCTAAATCTGTCGCTGAAATGGATTAACCAAATTATATTCAGTTGTTTTCTTTGTGTGCCTAATTTCATTAAGTTTGAATTAGCTAATTTACTGATTTCTGTTCACTACTGGAATTAATTTAAAAACTTACCTTTAATTTTTGTGTAATTTTTTATATGCCTTCACTGGGAATCTAACCCGTCCTTGAAATCTGTTATGTGTGACTGACATTAACATATCGACGAAACCTCTCGGCTACCAATTGGTTAGAATTAAATGTGTATTTTATATATATAAATAAAAATATGTTACACCCCAGTTCTATTGTTATACTTCCTAGTTTCTATTTCTGAAACAAGTGTAAATTGAATAGATATATTGTTACGAATAACAATGGATTTTGACCACAGGGTGTGACGAGCGGGGTTTCTGGAAACCCCTGCTTTTACATCCCGAAAACGCAGTCCATTGTTGTTCATAACAATATAAATTGGGTTTTTTTAATAGCATGAACATAAGAGTTCACTACAAGTTGTTTCAAGACATATTTAAAAAACATATTTCAGGAAATTCCAACTGCGAAAACTCCTTTGCTTAAAGCTAAAATTTTTGATCCTATATGGCAATGTCTTAAAGAACATACATGTAAAGAACTTTTATTTGAATTATACATTAAAAACATATAGTTTTCATTTGGACTAAGTCTTAATAATAAAATAGATATAAATGTTTGGATTGTTGAAGACTAATTAATGATGGCACCCAGGGGCGGATCCGCCCATTTTTAAAAGGGGATGCCAACCCAGGATAAAGGGGGGTCCAGTCATATGTCTTTACTATAAAGCATTGATCGTAAAAAAGGGGTTCCAACACCTGACCCCCTCCCCCCTTAGATGGCCCCCAAAAAGAGGGGTTCCTAAATATGCAATCTGTATTTTTGTATGTTAAGCGTGTCCGGTCGTCGGGTTTCTAATCCAGACCACTATTCCTCAGTGTGTTCGAATATGAATGTTTGTTAAGTGTTGAGAAGAGTGTGTGTGTGTGTGTGTGTGGGGGGGGGGGGGCTTTTTTGATAAAACCGTAACATATAAAATACATTTATGATTACCTTCATTAAACTGATACTTGTAAGATCTTTGGGTTATAAATACTGCCTTTATCTTTAGTCTCTTCTGCCAATTCAAACGCCTGACTCAAAATGTCGTCCGCCTTATACCCGTCCATATTGACAACTGCATACAAGTGATCACAAGGAGCACGATGTATTTTTTTTTTGTAATATTAATACACGATACGATTAACCTTGAACTGCTGATCCATATTAGCACATGGATTTAACGGGAATATGTAAAACGGCAACTTTGACATTTGTAAAATCTACCCACTTGTCAAAGTAAGGTTACTATAGTGGGGTTTCATCTAAAAAACTATTCTTTTTTCTTATTATTCATGGTTTGATATTGTCAATAAAATGCTATCCGTTCTTTTTCATTTAATATTTAATGTAAACAAATATAGGGTTTAGCATCGGGTGCAAGTTAGTTATACACTTCGGGATACGGTGTATAACTATTACATATACAACGGACACACAGGGCTTGTACCTTTATATATACATAATAGGCAATCGTATATTATAAGTTGGTAGCCGCGAGGTTAGCATTGTTAAGATCAATGAGTTGAAGAGTCAAGTTAAAGGTGGGGACTTGTCGGTTTAGGTTCGAATCCCTGTATTCTCTTTGTTGTCTCTATTCTTAAGTTTTTCTGGTTTTTTCTTATTGTGTATGTAATTGTGGATATTTTTGTAATAATAGCGAGTTTTACCGTTTATTTTTGGATTATTATTGGCTACTTCACATATTTGAAACGAAAATGATTACATTCAATTTGTCCATTTTTTGTCTTATTATAAATATAGTAAGATTTCATCTGTTTTACTACATAATTTTACAAATGTTTATTCGCAAATTCCTATGCGAGTAAATCGTGATGTGCCTAGAATTAGGCTTATTGCTAGAAATTTCGGTAACATATTTTGAAAAGACATTAACACAATAGTTTAAGTTATAGATACAATGGATAAGCGTTGATTCATGAAAAACAAACCATTCGCCCTCCGGGCTCGTGGTTTCTTTTTCAAGAATCCACGCTTATCCATTGTATCTATATAACGTAAATATAAAGTCCCTGATTGATTCAAATACCACAATTGGCCATTAATATAAGATTTCCATAACATATTTATAAAAGATATGTAGAACATACCCCAAATCAATATAAAATTATGAAAGAACTATGCATATCAATAAAGAATGTCATTAAAAAGTAGCGTCATAAATATAAAATCTCGCAAAACTATGGCCAATATTTTGGCATATCCACGTATACCCATTATTGGGAAGTTACAGCACCCCCTTTTTCATGGATATTAGGCTACGTGAAACTATACAAGACTTTAAATAGACGTCTTTTTTTCTGTAACATTTTACAAAAAATGTAGCCGAGAAAATAACTATAATTATATTACGTATACGGAGAAACACAATAAACTATGGACTAGAAGTAATATATCAGTCATTTTTAAGATTAAAGTTGATAATTCCAAGATTAAAGTTGGAATTTCCAAGTTTAATGTTGATAATTCCAAGATTTAAGTTAGATATTCCAAGATTAAAGTTAATAATTCCAAGATTTAAGTTGAAAATTCCAAGATTAAAAATGGAATTGCATTTCGTCTTCCTACTTGAAATGATTGTCATCAGATTTCAAAGGACGTTTCGTGTTATTGCAAGTCTTCGGTTTTTAGGCATGATCAGGTTGGCGCGTTTTCTTATTGTTCGCTGGCTTATTGTTCGCTAGCTTGATGCATCTTATTGTTCGCTAGCTTGATGCATCTTATTGTTCGCTGGCTTATTGTTCGCTAGCTTGAGTCTGGTTGATACATTCACAAATATTTCTGATATATAAACACACATATTAGACAGAAGAAGAAGCAATAATTTCTCGTTATTATGTCCTCAACTGATCTTGAGTTCAATATATTCAATATCTGACAGTAGTATTTCAATGAAGTCTGAATCATGTCCTACATCTGCTTCATCAATTGTTTCCACTTTATTAGAATTGTCCACCAATTCATTTGTTTTCTTTAAAGTAAAAATTCCAAATAAGCTTCTGATCTAATTTGATGTTGTTTTTCTCCTTGCTCAAAAAAGCATACAATATAAAAATAAAAAGATGTGGTATTATAATAACGTCTCTTACAATTTTGGGGAAATTTTACAACTTTCTTGGACCTTTTCATAACCCAGCCTTTATTTATCAAAATCTTCATGGTTTTCTTAGTTTACTTGGGAAATCTAACAAGCTGACGTTTACATGTACAATGTATGTCGAAACTTTCTGATCGAAACTTTCAAAATATATTTCTGTAAATTTAAAAATTATTGTAATATGAAGAACACAACAGATTTTCAATGTTAACCGTCTACTACATTTTTGTACAAGGCTCATTTTCAAACTTGACCTGTTGTCTGTAGAAAGCTACTGCATACATGTTATTCAAATTAGATAACGATTAATTATGCTAGAAAGTTTACAATCCGGACCGATGCTCGGACGGACAGACGAACGAACAGCATCCATATATTCCCGGTCGCAATGTGATGCTGAGGGAGACAACAAGAACAGATATGGGGTATATGTCAAGGAGACAATATTTTATCTTAGAAGTTAACTAACCAAAAATGTATACCCAGAGATCGCCACACGATCTGCAACAAACAGGAAAACCCACAACACAAGTTACCCCTATAAGGCCCAGACTGTGATATGACCTAAGTTACATTTCATTTTTTGTACAATATGCAATATAATTTAAATTTGCTTTAATTAATCTCACATTTTTGACAGTCACCATGAATATGCAATAATAATATTACACACATTACGTTCTGAATTCACAGTGTTTCAAATTTTTCTGCATAAAGTCAGAATTCTACCAATTTGTCTTTGAATTTAATTACACCTAGGTAGAACCATTTTAGTGAATTAAAACTAATGTCTCCCCTGTAGAAATCATTCTGGTTAAAAAAAGATTGTCATTGCAAGTAAGAATATATGGTTAATGCATGGAAATATGTACTGTTTTCCATATATTTACCAATTTATGGAACGAAGGGTAGGGCACGAGGGACACATTATATGTTACACTTAATTGGTCTAGTCATGATATATTTATTTGAGTACATGGTTTATGGGTGGGTATCTGAACAGATATATAAGGGGCACGAACCACAGCAAAAACATATATGGTGTACTCAAAGGTGTTGTCTTGCTGATTGAGAATATATATATGATTTAGAGGTAGGGATATGAACATATTTCAAGCTATTTTACCATCAATGGTATGTAGGGGGCAGGGCATGTCCCTCGTGATGAACTAAAAAGGCAATTAACATTTCACAGTGGTATCATACTTTAACTTTGTTTAAACCTGTTTATTTACTTTTGACCTTAATTATTTATCCCTTATAATTTTTATTAACTATGTATTTGCATTCAGGTATCACAGATCAAATTTATTCGTTCATCGTGTGTTAATTTACGCTTTTTGATTGAGTTAATCCTTCCAATTGATATTTTATAGTGTGTCTTTCTATGTTGTGATGTTATACTATTGTTTCAGAAAAGGGAGAAGGTTTGGTACCATTAAAACGTTTATTCCCGCTGCAAATGTTTGCACCTGTCCTAAGTCAGGAATCTGATGTACAGTAGTTGTCGTCTGTTTATGTAGTTCATACGTGTTTCTCGTTTCTCGTTTTTATATAGATTAGACCGTTGGTTTTCCCGTTTGAATGGTTTTACACTAGTAATCTAGTAATTTTTGGGGCTCTTTATAGCTTGCTGTTCGGTGTGAGCCAATGCTCCGTGTTGAAGGCCGTACCTTGACCTATAATGGTTTACTTTTATAAATTGTTACTTGAATGGAGAGTTGTCTCATTGGCACTCATACCAAATCTTCCTATATCTAATTAAGATTAAATATTGGTTAAGGATGGAATTCTGAACCCTTTTTTTTTTTAGATAAATCTAAACAACATCATTATTTTAAGAGGGACGGTTCATGACCCCCAGGGATAAACCCTTAGCTGCACTAAAAAAGGTCTTGCACGTTCTGTGGACTATGAGTTGCTTACTACCACTTCATTTTAACTGACGTTGATAGTTTTCTCATAAGCAATCAGTCCACATCTCTTCATTTTCATATT